TTAACAGTTTAGCTATAAGTATGAACACTTATGTCACATACTTGAATAGAATTTGCTTAGGTGTCCACACTCTGAGAATTGGTAATGAATCAATCCATCTTTAAAAGCATGGCAATTTGACTTCTGGTTTCTGGTCTAACACGTGAAGAACTCAGAAGTCATCACTCCCATCTACACAAGAAAAGAGCTGTGAACAACTCTTTCTACAGGGATCAGAGAACAGAGGTCACAGAGAGAACTGATGCTTGAAAACCGCCACCTTGGGGAGACAGCAGGGAGAATCACACCCTGTCCAAGCAGAAACCTCCCAGCACCCACTCCTTGTACAGGAAAGCCTAAACTCTGTGTGATGAAGTGCTGGCATCCCAACGTGGACAGGTTTGAATTAACCACTACAGGGGAAGGCAGCCTCTCGGGAGGGTCCCCTCATACCTGTGGGTATGAACCCTACCACATTTTCACAGTGAAGAAAGAAGAAAACTCTTGTGTTTCAGCAAAGGGGGAATGACAGCCATGCTGAAATAACCCACAGTGGTCTGTTTTTAACAAGGCCTGCCCTCAAGAGCAACTCCTTCCAGAGCCTAGCCAACAGACATTTTACCAGAAACTAGCCACCTTGGGGGTGGGTAATATGCAACTCATTTCCTTTTTGTCTCATCTCATCGTAAAAAAAAATCAACAAAATCGAGAAGCACATGTGTGGGACACAGACCAGGAGCACAAACTCACTCAGAGACTGAGACCTAACCACAGTACTAGGTAATGCTTCCTCCTCCCACACCTCACCGCGTGCACAGAGCTCCCGTGGAACAGAACTGTCACCGAGACAAATGCCAACCCCAGGCCTTGTGCACGAGATCTCAAGGGAAACCCAAAGACAAGAGACGTAAAGAACAAGAACAGCAAGTCTGGCACACGGCACACATCTTAAATCAGGAAGCTGCAGCAAGAGGACTGAAAATAGAACTTAGCGAGGCGCTGTCTCAAAATAAACAAGAAGGGCAGGGTGCAGTGCAACGATGGAGTGTTTGCCCAGCATGTACCAGGCCCTGGGTTCCATCCCAAGTATGCAAATAAGAAAAAAATAACAAACAGGGACAGCAGAGGAATTTCATCCTCCAACACCTACAGCAAATAATAAAATGGCCTAAACCTCAGCCAAAGAAACAAAACCTCACACTAAAGAACTATTTGCCTGCTTTTTACCTAATATATCGTGTTTAACAAAAAAATTACAAGGCATACAAAAAATATGGCAAAAGCATTCAACTGTGCCACAAACTTTTTTAAAGTGTTAAAAATAATGTTAAATAATACCACATATTATAAACACTCTACAGTAACTGAATATACATGCAGTCTTTAAGAATATTCACTCAAACACATACTCGCTCATGTCACGACTCAATAGCCTACAACTTTCCCATCAAGGTCAGGTACAGAAGGATGTTCCACATTATACTAGATTCCAGGCACTATCCACTATTCTAAGTGGAGGCTTTAACTAATGAAATTAAGATCCCAAAAGGCTTAAATATCAGAAAGTCACTGAAAGACTCACTACATGGAGATATCTGTAAGAACAGTTTCAGCTAAATCACCATTAAACTAATTTAAGTGTTTCTGTAATCTGGATAAAAAATTAGCCCATAATCCAGGTATGGTGGCGCACGCCTGCAATCCCAGCACTCGGGAGGCGGAGGCAGGAGGGTCATTGTAAGTTTGAGACCAGCCTGGGCTACAAAGTGAGCTCAAGGCCAGCCTCAACTGCATAGCAAGACCTTGTCTCAAAAAGACAACGACAACAAAAAATTAGCCCATAAAAATTAGTAACTTCTACATTGGTCAGCTTTTCCATTGCACATAATTTATAGAAGAGCTTTAGTTGGCTCTTCAAGGTCTCCACCCACAATCCCAGCCGAGGAGAAGCGTGCAGCGGAGGAGGCCACTCAGCTTGCCAGGCCAGAAGCAGAGAGTGGGCAGCGCCCGGGGGCAAGGGCCTTGGACTGGCAGAGCCGGGTCCAGGTCAGCCTCCAGGGCCCCCCAGGGTGTGCAGCCCTCAGCCCTGCACGCCTCACTAAGCATGCCCACCTAGTTGGCGGGCCAGCCTACCTGCCGCAGCGTCCTGTCATTCACATTAGTAAACCAACTGGAAGTATAACAGAAAAATAGTATTTTAAGACAGTAATAAACATTCAAAAAGCATCTAGAACAAATCTAACAAGAATGTCAATTTTACATGATAAAATTTTAGAACTTCAAGAAAAGAATGTAAAATTTACATAAAAGATATAAGCCAAGCATCTCAATTCCATTACATAAAATGTTAAAGCTATCGACTGCCACCCAATCACTCTCTAAGGCAATCTTAAAACACCTACAGGATTTAAAGGTATGTATTATGCAGCATCTCATATGAAGAAAAATATAAAGAATAACACTGTGAATGTGACCAATCCATCTTTAAAAATGTAAGTCATTGGCCAGGTGGAGGTGGCGCATGCCTGTAATCCCAGCACTGGGGAGGCTGAGGAAGGAGAACTGTTGCGAGTTCAAGGCCAGCCTGAACTGGGAAGAGGGAGATGGGAAGATGAGGAGAGGGAAGGGGGAAGGAGGGAGAGAGAGAGAGAGTGCACGAAAGAGCACAAGAGCCAGCCAGCATTAAAATAAACATTAAAACCTTACTAACATGCTTGAAAAAGAAGAGCTATGAAAAGATTTCCCCTATAAGACAGTAAAACGCACTAGGTAAGTATAGCAACTAAAATAGTATGGGCAGGGCTGGGGATACAGCTCAAGGGCACAAGTGCCGGCCTGGCAAGCGCGAGGTCCTGAGTTCGATTCCTGGCTCAAAAAACCAAAATACTATGAGAGGCTGGGCTCAACCCCCAGCATCACACAGGAGAAGCAGCACAGCAGCGGCTCTGCATAAACATGCACGAATGCCAAAAGAACAGGACAGATTTCAGAAACAGGCTCTTAAATGTGTAACAGATAATAAAAGGGAAAAAAGACCCCATAAATACCATACGTATGCAGATCAGAAGGCTAAATGTAAAAGAAATCAAATTCTGAAAGTAGAGTAAGAGGGGCTGGGGATTTAGCTCAGTGGCACAGCGCCTGCCTGGCAAGGTCGTGAGTTCAATTCCTGATACTGGAAGAAAAACAAAACAAAACAAACAAACAAAAAAATAAAAGTAGAGTAAGAAACTAGAATAGCAAGTCTTTCAAACATTATGGTAGTAGCAGTACAGTATTCTAAAGGCAAACTCGTCTACAATAAAAGACTACACAGTTAAAAAACAAGTAGATATAAGAAATACCTCTAACACTTACCAATCACAATAAATGTTTGATAACAGTTACCAATCACAAGAAAAGCCAAACAATCCAATTAAAAACTATATACTATAGTATCAATCAGAAATCTGGTAAAAGAGAAAATATACAAATTTATACTAAATAAATGAAAGCTTTTAACCTCCTTAGTGATCATGTAAGTATACTTTAAAAATGGTAACATAGGGGCTGGGGATTTAGCTCAGCAGCAAAAGCGCCTGCCTGGCAAGTGCAAGGTCGTGAGTTCGGTTCCCGGTACCGGAGAAAAACAAAAACAAAAACAACAAAAAAAATGGTAACATATAAATTATGACGATCACTAGAAAAATTAAATATGTTATGGTATATTTATGTCACAAATACTATGAAGACTTTATAGTGATGGAAATGATTTGTATTGAACATGACATTTTCTCTTGAGATTACATTGGTAAATATAAATGGAAGATATATAGTATAAATACTTAAAAATAAAACATATAAATGTGTGTATATTTTAACTGACAGGTATCTAGAGGAATATACACCAACCTCTAAAAGTGATTTCATCTGGAAATCAGTCAGATTGGGGAAAGGAGAAAAAAGGATTACTTTCATTTTAAAGTTTTCTCTTTTATATATACTGTATGAATTGTTATAATAAACAGTAATTTATAGGAGGCTGAGGCAGGAGGATAGCCACAAGTCTGAGGCCAGCATAGGCTATACAGTGTGTTTAAGGCCATCATGGACTACATAGCAAAACCCCATCTCAAAAAAGCAAGTGTATGTATATAATCATAATCCTAATTTCATCCTTCTACTCTTTTTAACACTGTTACAAAACTGAGTAAAATACAATTGCACTCTTCGGCCAGCCAGTATGTACACTTACATGCTCCAAGATAGTGCTCTTGATCTTGAACACAGAAACATGCAAGCCCCTAGAGAATTCAGAATGAGACAGGAGAAACTGTTCTATTTCCTAGCTTTAACAGAAAAATAAAGGGCTGAGGGGAGAGAGAGATTATGTAAGGGCAGAGCTGGGCAAGATTTAACAGAGATGACGCTCAACGGAGGAATCTTTGTTTGTTTGTGTTTTTTTGCAGTACCGGGGATCGAACTCATGACCTTGCACTTGCCAGGCAGGCCTTTACGCCACTGAGCTATATCCCCAGCCCTGGGATCTTAACAGATGAACGAGCATTAGGAGGTCAGTAGGAAGACTCGGCAGAGGTACCACCAACACACTAAAGCACAAAAGCGGGGCAGGATGGAGCAGCAGCCAAGACCACCTGCCAGCTCTGACTGCGGGCAAAGCCCCGAGCTGTTCCAACTGAAAAGTAAGGGTTACAGCCTCTCCTTGGAGGGCTCTGGGAGGAAGGGGAAGGAATCTGGCTGCCACCTCTCCTCCACTGATCTCTGAGGCCGACGTGTCCGTTTCACCTCGGGCTCCTCCAGACTCACCCAAGAGGCAGGCCAGCACAATTGTCTCGGTCATGTACAATGGCCTCGCGGTTCTTCACACACAGTGTTTTACTCAAAACACTTCAGACTTTTTCTTTTCTAACAGACGTCTCTGTGACACTCTCAGAACTGCCCCGTAATCACTGCTGGGGTGGCCACCGTCAGTGTGGGAGCCAGCACCCACTCACTGTACACAAACATTACTTCATACTTACAGGCTGCGGCTGCTCCGCAATGCAGCAGTTGAAGCACAACCAGAATTCACTCATGCTTTCAGTTCAAGATGTAAATGAGCACCAGTGACGGTTCCAAATCTCACTTCTGCAAGCTGCACCGGGTATGGTCTTCACTACGAGGAAGGTCCAATCCAAGTAACAATTCTACTTTACTGCGTTGTGATCTTGGAAGTCAAATTTATACGGTCAATTTAAAGAAACAGGTCGCTTCCCTTCTTTGCGCCTGCTTCTACACACTCCTTTCTGAACCAGCAGGAAGGTGTGAAACTGTTGTCTTGACACAAGGCCTACAGCATGCAGCCTAGGGAAAAAAGAAGAAGTAGAAGAAAGTAAGTTTACTTATCCCAGGAAACATTTACTTCTTAAACCTGCAGTGAAAATGAAGATAAATATTACCCCCAAAGCACACACTGAAAAAAATCAAGACTTTAACAAGCCGATACTCAGTCAACAAATTATATTTTGACCACCTATTGAGTGTCCAATGCTAGGGATACAACAATGAAAACAGAAATCCTTGCCTTCATGAAGGATTCTGTTTTATAATTGTAAAAGTATAATTTTAGTAAGTTTTTAATAAAAAATTAGTAATTAGAACATTTGATTAGCATGTCTCAAAGTCTGAGAGGAAGCACCGTCATTTTCACGTTTCTTCAGTTGGATCCTTGCTCTCATAGGCAGCCACCGTAGTAAATAACACAGCACTGAACGGCAAGATATAATTAAGCAGCTATAGCTCATCAAAAATCTTACATTATCCCCTTACCTTACCCACTGAAATTCGAACTGTACGTATACAGAAGCTGGACAGGTGAAGTCATGCTTCCTTCTGTGACTCAAGTTATTAACAACCCCACCCCCAACGCCACCAGAAGAAAGTGTGTCAGTCAAGGATCTGGAGTCAGACAAAGAGCAGATTTACTTCCGATTCCCTGCCGCCAAGCTGGGGACTTTAAGGATGACCTTGGTCAACTATGGTCCACCCTCCTGCATAAGACAGTTCTAAGATAATAATGCTGTCAAGCAGAGACAAAAAAGAGGAAGCCTTAGCCAGGCGTGGTAGTGCACGCCTGTAATCCTAGCACCTGGGAGGCTGAGGCAGGAAAATTGCTGCAGCTGGATCCACAGCTCTGAACTCCAGGAGGTGTCTTGAAATAATGAATAGATAACTGAGCCAGTGATGACACCCTAGGGGAAACAGTACCCTGATGAGCCAAGAAGGTCAGCAAAGAAGTCCTACAAACAACACCTGATGTGACCCACAGAGAAAGGAAGTTCACAGAGGAAAAGGCACTGGAAGAGTGAGAGACAGAGAGGAAAACCAGTCCCACGTGGAGCTCCGGCAGCCTTGCCAAGAGGCAGCAGGTAGCCGGTTTAACTGGCAGCTGTGTTAACTGGCAGAGGGACAACCACCCACCACCATGCACGGCTACTTGGTGGCCCTGGCTACAGCAGTTTCAGGAAAGCAGTGTGTGGAAAGTAGATTACAGAAAAGCAAAGCAGTAGAGCCATGGGGGGCAATGTTTGCAAGAACAGATACAAAATTTACAAAGAGAATGTGGTACATCCAGTAAAAGAAAAGCCACCCCTGAAAAGACCAAAGACGGCTTACTTTGATTATCCAAAGAGATGCTAACATATTTGTCCCAACTTATGAACTATAAATCACTTATTTATACACTTTTGAAAGAAATCTCAAATATTTGTAAGCTGTGCCAACTACACCTCAGTAACAACCACGTTATGGGATCACAGAACCTGAACACTGAATTCCTCCCTTTTGCTTTCTCCAGAGTCATCACTCTCACACCGGGTAAGACAGGAGGGACAGTGGCTTTGGTATCATACACATGTAGGCCTGTAGTGAAGGCGAAATGTACACATGCTCAAGGTCACAAATCTGGGCAGTGTGATTACGGGACTCTGAGCCCACAGAGTCCACAGAAGTCTTCTCCATTAAGATTTAAACAGATATGCAAGGAAGAGCAGAAAGAAGAAAAATATATATTTTTGCCATAATTAACATTCAGAACCAGGCCAGGTATGAGGGCACACACCTGTAACCCTAGCACCTGGGAGGCTGGTTACCACTGAGTTCAAGGCCAGCCTGTGCTACATAGTGAGACCCTGTCTCAAACCAGCTCCCTCAAATCAGAACCAGGAATGCCTACTTTAAGCAGGGACAAACAGTATTTCACCCGAAGTGTAAAACCAGGAACTCTGGTGGTCTTTTTGTTCATGACTTGGGTAGGTACTGTGAAGTTGTATTAGTTCAAAAAAGAACATGTTTCACTTATCTCTTCTGTCCAATCTTATCAGAATATAAGATTAAATTCACACTATCATGAACAGCATTTCAGTGCTGCTCTTTAAGTTAAACTTATTTTTAACTGATATATACCTCATGATGAATGTAATTATGTACTGCAAAGACATATTAATAAAAATAAAGATTAAGAGATACACAAAAACATTTTAAAGGGCCGGGAATATAGCTCAGTGGCATAGTACCTGCCTGGCAAGCATGAGGTCCTGAGTTCAAGTCTCAGTACCAAAAAAAAAATTTTTTTTAATTACACATATGAATGGTTTGCCATGTTTTATACATGTATACAGTGTTATGTTTAAATAAAACATTTTATGGTGGAAACCTCTGAAAACCCTTCTTTCTGAAACATGAGGTATGCTACTGCTCATGCGTCACCCCACTGTCCCACACCACTGCAGAACGCCTCGCTCCTGACTTAAACTCAGTATGCACTGGTGAAATGCTGCCCTGCAACACGTTTAACTCCATCCTGGATCAAAGAACTCAGTTATTATGTCGCTTTGAAATGGAATTTCTTCTTAACCAACTCTATAAAAACAAGTCTTTGTTTGAAAGTGCTTATCATTACGTAGCACCAGAGAAGGAGCGACGCTGATGCTTTCAAGTCTACTGCTTGGGTTATTCCTCCAGTATCACCTTTTCTCATTTTAAACTGCCAGAAACTACTTTCAAACATTAATTTTACAATGGGAGGTGCTCTCCTTTTCTTTACTAGTTTTAACTCAGTGCTACTTAAAGTGTTTTTCTACTTTATAATCTATAAAGAACACTTTATCTCCTCTATATTTCCACAAATTCCAACTTCTTTCACATTTAGAATAAAGCAATTTTTTAAAATGTACACTCTACCATTCCCACGCACTACTTTAAAAAAGGTGTTTACAAGCCAGGCATGGTGGCACACGCACATAATCTCCACACTCAGGGCTGAGGCAGAGGGATCCCCAGGAGTTCAAATCTAGGCCAGCCTGAACTACATAGTGAGTTCAAGGCCAGACTAAAAAACATAGTGAGACCCTGCTTTAAAAAACAAAAATTATGTTTATAATACTTCTTCCTAACAGTTCAAGAATAATTATTCAAAGATGACCATGGTGGCACATACCTGGTATCCCAGCTATTTGGGAGGTTAAGGCAGGGAGAGGATCTCATAAAGACAGTGCAAGAAACTCAGTGAGACCCTGTCTCAAAATAAAACTTGAGAAATGAACTGGAGGTGTAGCTCTGCAGTAGAGTACTTACCTAATGTGTGTGAGGCCCTGGGCTCATTCTCTAGTATTGGGGGAAAAAGGCTAAAGTATAACAATTTGTGCTTTTCTTTGTTTCCAATACATAACAGAAACTGCTAAAATATTATTTCCAAACCAAGGGGATGCTTCTGAGTCCGTGAATTTTTATTTGCTAAATAAATATAGAGATCTTAAAATTTTTCAAACAATTGGGCCTGGTGGCACACATCTGTAATCTCAGCATGCAAGAGGCTGAGGCAGACAGATTGCTGCAAGTTCAAGGCCGGCCTGACTACATGGTGAGACCCTGTCTCCAAAAAAAGTAAATCTCAAATGTGCCGTGGACTTTGTTAACATAATTTATATCTTGTTTTCCTCAACAAACTTCCTTTTTAAAATTTCCTTTGAAATTACATAACCTTAAAATACATAAATAGCCCCCTTGAAGTCTTCAGAAAAATCTCCACTAACGGCTGTATTCTAGTTCTTCCTTTTTGTTTAAACCTTACACATCTTAGGGCAGCTAAAGCAGGAGGATCACTGTGAGTCAAGGCCAGCCTGCACTACAAAGTGAGACCCTGTCTCCAAAAAAAAAAAAAAAAATCCTTGTACTTAATTCTTTACTTACTGCCTTCTGCTACCCTGCCAGGGACTGTTTCTGCTACCCTGCCAGGGACTGTTTCTACTCTGCAACACCCTCTCTGTGCCACCCTGTCTTGCAGCCAGCTGACTATGGACTAAACCTCTACAAACTGTGAGCTAAAATAAACCTTTCCTCCTTTAACTTGTGGGTGTCAGCTATCTTGTCCTAGCAACAAAAAATAGCAACATACACCATAACCTACCAATACTTTGTACTGTCAGTCATTTTCATTTTAGCCATTCTGGTACGTTTAAAGTTGTATCTTGCTATGGTGTTTTTTGTTCGTTGGTTTGGTTTGGGTTGGTTGGGTTTTTTGAGACAGGGTCTGGCTAGCGTTCAGGCTGGCCTGGAACTCATTAGCAATCCTCCTGCCTCAACCTCCTGAGTGCTACGATTATAGGCATATACCAATCATACCTGGCTTTGCTGTGGTTTTAATCTGTACTTCTCTAAAAACTAACAACAGTATTTTCATGTGTTTGCTGAATAGTCACATCTTTAGTTATGCATGTTCAGAACTTTTCTCACTTTTAAATTTAGCTATCTTGAGGGGCATGGCAGCACATGCCTGTAATCCCAGCACTAGAGAGGCTGAGACAGGAGTTCAAGACCAGCCTGGGCTACATAGTAAGACTGTCTCAAAAGACAAAAAAAATTTTAATTAATTTAGCTGTCTTACTGAGTTTTAAACTTATGTATTATTCTAGAACAAGTCCTTTGTCCAATACACATATTAGGAATTTTTTCCTGGTTTTTCCAGTTTTTCCAGTTTTTTTCCAGTTTTTTTCAAAAACTGTAGTTTTTGAAGACTCTAACTTTGATAAATTCTATTGAACCAACTTTATCTTTTATATTCTCTGCTTTTTGTGTTCTAAAAACTTTCTGCATATTACCGAAGTCACAAATATTTTCTATTTCTTCTGGAAGTACTAAGTTTAATTTTGTGTCCATAATCTATCTTTACTTGATTAAAAAAATTATTCGGTGGTACAAAGGCCAAGGTTCATTAGTGACATGGATAGACAGCTGTTTCATTTTATTTGCTAAAGGTTATCTTTTTCCTACTGGATTTAGCACCTTTACTGAAATGAGTGTGGGTC